AGCGCTTCGGGTCAAGCTAACAGCCTGATGGCGACTCTTGTACACAGTCTTAATGTTTGATTTTGGGAAGGTTCAACCTCTACCTCTATCCCTCAACATTTGGGTGACCTATTTACTTGTAATATATATAAAGCCTTTTCATTAATTAATAAAAAAAGGGGGATATGTAGGAAGCCGGTTCCTGCATTATCCATTACAATAATAGGTGCCTGAAGACACCAAGATGTAAATTACTTCACAGGCGCTGGGTAATTTCCATTCCTTTGATCTCTGCCTATCCCGTGGCTCATTTTGGCCTGAGGAGCTGAAGCCATTCATAGGGTAACACGTCCCAGGCGGCTGGCCAGCCTTTATAAGGGATGGTTTTCTTGGTTTAGTGTCTCCGCTCTGGGAAGCTTATGCTCTTTCACTCTCAAGATGCATTAAAGCTTGTCTACAGAAGGATCCGAGTGTCCCATGTATGATTTCTTGCTGGCGAGAAATACAGAGCGCGCGGGACACTTAAACATAATAAAAGCAATATACAGTAAACCAAGATCCAATATCAAACTAAATAGATAGAAACTCAAGGTGATTCCTCTAAAATCAGAAACAAGACAAGGCTGTCCCCTCTCTCCATATCTCTTCAATATTGTATTTGAAGTTGTAGCTACAGCAACAAGACAACAAAAGGATATTAAGAGGATACAAATTAGAAAAGAAGTCAAGCTTTCACTGTTTGCAGATGACGCAATAGTTTACATAAGTGACCTGAAAATCTCTAAAAGGGAACTCCTACAGCTGATAAACACCTTCAGCAAAGTGTCAGGATACAAGATTAACTCAAAAAATTCAGTAGCCCTATTATATAGAGATGATATGTGAGCTGAGAAAGAAATTAGAGAAATATCTCCATTTATAATTGCCACAAACAGTAGAAAATACTTCGGGGTAATGCTAACCAAACAAGTGAGAGACCTGTATCATAAGAACTTTGAGTCTTTAAAGAAAGAAATTAAAGAAGATACTAGAAAATGGAAAGATCTTCCATGTTCTTGGATAGGTAAGATCAACATAGTAAAAATGGCAATCTTGTGAAAAGCAATCTACAGATTCAATACAATCCCTATTAAAATCTCAGTACAATTCTTCACAGACCTTGAAAGAACAATTCTCAACTTTATATGGAAAAACTAAAGACCCAGGATAGCCAAAACAACCCTGTACTCTAAAGGCACATCCAGATACCTCACTATCCCTGACTTCATGCTCTTTTATATAGCTATAGTCCTGAATACAGCTTGGTATTGACACAAAAATAGACAAGTAGAACAATGGAATCAAATTGAAAACCCTGATATTAACCCACACAACTATGGACATCTGATATTTGACAAAGAAGCTAAAATTATACAATGGAATAAAGAAAGCATCTTCAACAAATGGTGCTGGCATAACTGGATGCTGGCATGTAGAAGACTGAAGATATATCCATATCTATCATCATGCACAAAACTTAAGTACAAATGGATCAAAAACTTCAACTTAAATCCAGCCACACTGAAACTCTTTTAAGAGAAAGTAGGTGGTACCCTCGAATGAATTGGTACAGGAGACTTTTTTCCTGAACATGACACCAGGAGCACAGACTCTGAGTTAGAAAATTAATAAATAGGACCTCCTGAAACTGAGAAGCTTTTATAAGGCAAATGACATAGTCAACAAAACAAAAAGGCAGCCCACAGAATGGCAAAAGATATTTACCAACCCCACATCTGAGAGAGGGCTGATTTCCAAAATATACAAAAATTCAAGAAAGTAGTCACCAAAACACCAACTGATCCAATTAAAAAGTGGGGTTCACAAATTAATTATCAATGGAGGAATCTAAAATGGCTGAGAGACTCATAAGAAAGTGCTCAACATCCTTAGCCATCAGGAAATGCAAATCAAAACAATTCCAAAACACCATCTTACTGCTGTCAGACTGGCTAAAATAAAAAACACCAATGATAATTTATGCTGGAAAGGATGTAGAGAAAGGGGAACACTCCTCCACTGATAGTGGGAATGCCAACTCATGCCAACTTACTCTCTGTAGATTGTCTTTGGTCTCTGTGCTAATCACCATCTATTAAGAAGCTTTTCTGATCAGAGCTGAGTTATTCAGCGATCTATGGGAATAGCAGCATCATTAATCATGACTTTATTGTCATGCTTCTTTAGCTGCATAATACCCATTATCTATCTAGTTTCAGGATCTTGACAACTCTATCAGTGTCAGGCATGGGCTTCTGTCTTAGTGAGCAGGCCTTCAATCCAACTAAAAAGTGATTGCTTACTCCCATAACATTTGTAACACCATTGCTCCAATAGATCTTACAGGAAGGTCATTGTTTTAGGTTTCATAGTTTGTAATTGGGTGATGCTGATGAATGATTTTTATCATCCAGTAGCAAGCACACACATATCGGCAATTCTTCTGTATTTAAATTTATTTTCACCAGTCTTTTATTTATTAGCTTATTTTTATTTTTATGGTTTCATATGGATTTATTTACACTTGAAGGCAATTATCTTCTAAGCTTCTAGTGTGTTGCTCAGTTTCTTCTATTTCTGTTTCTTGGGATGTCTTTAAATTTGTTTCTTAAGTCCTTCTGATGCTGTCATTTTCTTCATTAAGAACTTCTTCATTTCTGGAATGAATTGACGTTTTTTTGCCTTATCTCATTTTTTTTTAATTCTCTTCCAACTCCTTGAGTATGTGCTAAATTTAATAAGAATATACAAAAGATTTTCCATAGAAGCTAAAAAATGACTTAAAATACACAAGGTAATAGCAGAGTACACACAAGAAGAAAAGTAACCGCACTGGATACCAAAGACAGTGGTGGACCTCTTTCTTAATGCCCAATGTCCTTTGTCTTAAGATTTGGTGCAATAAGTTAAAAAATGCATATGGTAAAATGGATTGTATGTATAGCTAAAACATATTCCTTAGGAAATAACAACTAATTACAAAGGTACTTAGAAAGCAGGAAGATTAATTAAAATAATCAATTGTCTATGTGATAAATGTATAGTAATGTAAGCTTCTCTAAATTGAATTCATTTTCTTATACTATAGCAGTAATATAAAAGAATATATAATATAGAAGTCAGAAACTAGTGAAAGGATTCAACAGCAACACTATGTGAACTATTAGCATGAAAATGATGAGTTATTTAATAAATTATAGTGAACTACTGTTTCTCAAATGAAATTCAAGAAGTTAAACTTTCAGTTAATAACTTTGTAAAGTACATTACAGATGTATAAATAACAAGCAGGTAATAAGAAAGACACACATTTTAAAAATGGCATAAAGACACATGTAAAATGTGTCACTGAAGTACTACATGCATTTTAAAAGTGAATATTCAATGACTTTAAGGGAAATCTGAGAGCAAGACAGAGAGAGAGAGAGAGAGAGAGAGAGAGAGAGAGAGAGAATAAATAGTAAGAATTGATTATTTCCACAATAGCTATGAAATATAGAACAGAATTGAAGAAAATACCTGAAACATAATATACTGATTAGATATGTTTATAAATTTTTAAAGTTCTCTAATAGAATTCTTAAGTGGAAAAAGTTTATGCCTAAGCATCTCAGACAAGAAAACCTCAATGAAATACGATAATATAGTTGCATCTTAGAAAGTAATAGGAAGAATCACACTAAATATTACAGCAAATTGATTTCATTCTTCAATACTCTAGATGAGTAGTGCTTTCTAATATTTGTAATTCCTGTTTTGGCAAATATACATGAAAACAAACCCAAGTGCACATTCATGTTTGGTGATGCAGTGCTTTTAGAGACAATCTGGAAGGCCTTAATAATCTTAAAAATGAATTTATTCTATGACCTAGTAATATATTATTTGAGTCCTGTGTTTATGAAATCATCAACACATAAATTGATTTAGGAGATCATTTATTAAGGTGACTATCCAAATCAGCCTAAAGAGGAAAAAGCATGACATCATGGTGAAATTTAATGTGAAATTCTTCATAGAAATTATAAATAATCAGACTCTAAATGTATTATAAAATCAATGCTTAGTCCTGTAAATCTGGCCAATAACCCATGATTGTGGATCTCACAGGATCCAAGAGTGAGTCTAGTAATATTATTCTACTGAATGGACATAATATCTTCCTAAGTAATTATCCTAATGTCTAAAAATAGTTGATCAAACCAACTAAATTCCTATGTGGATGGGGAGATGCTCATGAAATCCCATTCCTTTCTGATGAGCAATTGACAATATATGGCTGATGATGGTCATAGATAAACAGATGATAGGTATAGATACAGGAATGGGTATGGGTGTGGATATCGATATGGATATAGAAATAGCTAGATATAGATATCTCCACTGTGGCCCAGGTAGTCCAACAATGGCTGTCCACCAATCTAGTAGTCAGTCAGTCCATGAGATTGGATGTCTTAGCTTGTCTTCACTAAAAGCCAGAATCCTGAAGAAGTAAGTTCTATTGCCACTGAATGAATGGACTTGTCAGTGAGTAACAGGACAAGCAGGCAAAGAGCAAACATTCCATCCTCCATATCCTTCATATACGCTGTCATCAGAAAATGTGGCTCAAATTAAAGGTGGATCTTCCCACCTCAAAATGTCTGGGTTAGAAGTGGGTCTCTCCATTTCAAAAGATTAACTTAGGAAAAATCCCCAACAGGTGTACCCAAGAGATTGTGGTTTAGTTAATTCAAGATTTAATCAAGTTGACAACCAAGAATAGCCATCATCCAACTTTATTTGTTGATGGTATATTCAAAATATGGGTATACTCTTTTTAAATCCCAGAACTGTGGAAAGACTGATAAGTTGTAAGACCCACTTGGGAAAGTTGGAGGCAGGATACTCTAACCAGTAAGGCATGCCACCTGCAGTAATCCCCATATAACTATAGAGGCAACACTGCCCAGGGTCTTTTGGTGGCTAACTCCTGCTGTGGGGTGGACAACACGCTGGAGATTTAAGGTGATACATCTACTAATATAGGTTTAAAATTTTTATTTATCTGTTTGATCATTTACTTACTTTCAGAAGAGGAATACATACTCTGTGTCTTATTATCCATTGTGTCATTGAAGATAATAACTTTTTCTTTAGTCTCTTGAGGTCAATACCTAGAAAGGGTGGGTTTCATGTCTCATGACGTTTAATTCTGGGCTTTGGAATATTGAGCTGATTCTTTAAGATAGAGTGCCTATTTGACTTGAGTTTACGGGGGTCAGGGAGAGATGCATTGGTTGGAGTATTTGTTCACTCCAAAACTCATGTTGAAATTTAATCTCCAAAGTCTTAGATTTATGGCATTTTGCAAGTGAGGCCTTTGGGAGGTAATTAGGATTAGGTGAGGTCATGAGGTGGGAACCTCATACATTAGTGTTTTTTTTACGATGTGAGAGAGAAAACCAAGTTAGCAAGCTTGTTTTGTCTTTATCATGCCTGTACTATGGCAGGATTCAGCAGAAAGGCCTTTCCCACATGCTCAACAGATGTCTATGCAACAAACTTTCAAACCTGTGAGATAAATAAACCTCTTTTCTTTATAAGTTGCTTGACCTCTGAAATTCATTTCTAGAAATGGGAAATAGACTAGAACATTTAGTAATTTCTGTCTTCCATCCTTCTGTATTTTTCCCATTATTTTCTGTCTATAAGGTCCATGCTTTCATACTGGAGAATGAGGAAAAGAAAAGCCACAAGAGGGTGGGAGGATAAAGAGAATTCACCATGCTGAAGATTGACAAGTCATTCTTTATACACCAACACAAAGAGCAGGCTACTAGGCAGGCTGCAATTGGCACGCATGGGCTGCATGCAAGCTGTATATTAATAGGCAAACAGGCCTATAGACAAACAGACAAAAGCAGGAGGAAGAAGATGCCCAGGGAAAGGTCTCTGATCACAAGGCCCATTTGTATATAATAACAAAAAACTTGCAATTAAACAAAACAAGTTATATAAAAAATTACATCTGTATTTGCTTTCAGATTCCTGGATATCTGATGTCAGGCATTTTCTGCTGACTCAGCCCCCAGGAAACCCAGTGTCATTCATGGTTTAGCTGACTGAGTTTTATCAGACATCCATATTAACACCAACGTGTCTAAACTTAGACTGGCCTTTGCGGCCTTTTGTTTCTAATACTGTCTCATCTTTCCCTTATATCATACATTTTTTACTTCGTTCTATGATGTAGCTCCTTTAGAATTTTAAAAAAAACTAGAATAATAAGCACTAAAATAAAAGGGAATCAATGCTCCTTATTGCTTTGTCAAATATGGATTTGTCTAATGTCCACCAACTTTTAGGTTTTTGTTTGAAAACTGCATGTGGAGCTGTGCTATCCCACACACTGCCTGGTTTCCTAGTCTCATAGGACAAAAGAAAATTTGTTGAAGTCATTTTTTTTCCCTTTTTCCTGTTGAGTCACGGAGTGGAGTCAAAAGTTCACAGTATGCTGTCCTCCACACAGTGCCCATCTGTGCTAGCTGTTTTATGAACTATCAGAGGACAGAAGAAGCAGAAGCATAGCTGTCAGTCTGTGGTAACATGAAATTAAACAGTACAGCTGTTTAGAAACCTCTATGGTTCCAATTGTTTAACAAATTATTGTTAAATCTAGAATAAGGGAATCATGGAGAATTAGCCTTTGTTCTTGTGCTAGATAAGGTATGCGCACACACATACACTCATGCACGCACACACACATATAAGCACATACATACACTCTGGCTTAAAGTGCAGGAAAATAAAACTTTATATTGCCAGTAATTACTGTTGGAGTCTCAAAGTCTAAGATTTAATGTTATAAACTTGTCAGCAGGTGCTCTGTGAATGCTGAGCTGAACTATGTTCTGAAAGATCTCGCTGTGCCCTTTGGAATAAAGCCCACAACAATAACGGAAAGGGAAATTAACTATTAAGACACCTTGGGCAAATGTTCCCCATTTTGGGATCTTAGCATTTGAGATGTTCTTCTCTTGCCAGTGATTATTCTTTGTACAATGCAAAGTGATACATATTTTCTGAAGTTCCCCAGTGAGTTTCCTCAGCTTGTAAAGTGTGAGGTTGAAGCCAAATGGTTTACTTAATAAAAAAAAAAAGGTCTCTTTGTTGAAGTAAAGTGCATTGAAAGCAAAAGTTTTAATTCCATGGGTTTCTATTATCTTAGGAGCAACACAACTGCCTTCAAACAAGGGTACATTTTCATTTCCTTCTTCTCTTTTACTGGAAGTTCCTTTTCTTATGAAGTATAAGGGTCCTTTTATCCACTTTGGTTAGGGTGCTGAGAAAAACAGGTTTCAGGAAGAATTCCCTATAGAAATGTTAACTGTTATTTAAGAATTTTATTCATTTTTGGCAATTGTTTAGAATTATTGGCAACAAGAAGCTATTGATTCTTTAGGAAATGATACATTCTGTAAATGGATTTTTAAATTGATCCCAAATGTGATATATTTGAAAGTGACAATTCTCCAAAGAATGTTATGAAATTGAAGATCCCTAAAAATGAGACAGGTGTTGTTTTCCTTTGGGACGATTTTGATACCAATAAGACGTGTAGCTAGGAATGAAGGAATAAATCATTATCTTTTGGACTGGTTGATATATTCTCCCTAGTGTGGTGAAGTGATTATTTAAAAAATAAAGAGGTTTTCAAAATTTGCTTAACATTTTACAACTCATAAAACCTCATAAGTGGATTCAGCCTTTTCTTTGTGACCTTGATACATTTCTCTTTTCCATGTGCAATGATTTGATTCTTCACAACCACCTGGACCTTGCTTCATAAGAAGTCAGTCTAGCTGAGAGCAGATGAGCCTCACATGTAATATTATTGAGCTCTATTAAACTCATAACACCTATCA